ACTGCCTCCCTATTTTCATGTAGCCGAAAAACATTGTCATGGACTACAAGTCCCCCTCTATCTGCTGGCTTAAGCCTCAATACCGACTTGGTAGAGGTAAGAACTTAAGGTCTTGTCTTATAAAACCTATGTATAATTTTCAAAGAAATTCCTTATCTTGGTTATTACAAAAAGCAAATATTCCATGCATATGGGGGAGGGGGGGGGAAGCATACATGTTCAGTATGGGCCATTCCAACTCCATCTTCAACTACTTGTTCTCCTCCTTCTATATGCTGAACAATTCCAACTAATTTTCTGGAATAATCTGAGATTTCTTCTGTGAAAGTTCTTATACAGTGGGCCATGTCCAAAATGGATGCACGAATCTGGTTTGCTTCTGGTTCCAAGACAGAATGCTGTTAATTAAAAGCAACATATCAAAGATCAATCATAAATATCTTCCTTAATCATCTTTTCCATTTTACTACATATTTAATATATATACGTGTGTGTGTGTATGTATAAGTGTGTGTATATATATATGTAGGAAAGGCAAGTAAGAATTTAAAACGATCCTGCAATTTAAAATGCAATCAGGATTACAGATTATGCTGAGACTAAAATAGGCATCTAGCAATTACAGAAGTAAACATACAAATTTGCCTGTTTACCATAATCAATTATAAAAAAAGAAGGGTGGTTATACTGCACCAGGTTGGTGAACCTAGTGTTTGCATGATGAAAACAACTTTCAGAACTGGTGCCTCAGTGCTGTGAGAAGTTCAGAAAAGCATCGGATAAAGGGACTGTCCATCTTAATATATAAATAACTTATTGTGGTCTTAAAAATAATGTTTTTTTCCTTGTAATTTTACCATGGCTGTTATCTGAAATGAAGGGAAAACAAAAGAACAATATTAAGTTACTTCTATAAAGACCTATCAAGAATCTACCCTCCTTTCTTGATGATATTTTGTACTTTAATTGGATAAATAATTACGCAAGCCACCCCATGGCATGACTAGAAACAGATTATCAGCAGTACCTTATGACCTTGATGCTTCCCATATTCTTTGCAGACACAACACATAAGAGGACTCGCCTGACAGCCCTCTTCTAAACAAACAAACTCAATAGCATGCACTTGGTGTTGGGAGCACATGGTCTTCTCATGAGGCTTATCAGCAAGAGGCACACGCCTGTGTTTTGCTAGTGTCTTTGTAGAATGAGTAAGCTGGGAACAGTCTGCGCACAGGTGAGTGGCACAAACAGTGCAATATACAGATGCAACGTGGGCTTCATCTTCATCGCAACGAATGATACTCTAACAAACAAAAAGAAAAAGACAAAACTGAAGTTGTTAACATTTATTCCCAGCAACTGAGGAAAATCAGAAGACCTGCCACCTATTGGTGGCAAACAGACTTTTGCAGGCAAAAGTCTGCAAACAGACTTTCTTAAAAGTTACACACTAAGAAATATTTGGACTACTTTGAAAACTTGATTTTAAGTTGTCAATAAATCTTTAAAAAAAATAAAAGTCAGTTTCCTTTATCGTCAACTGCCATAAATTATTCTAAAGGTGTTAAGTGATTTTATAAATCCAAACTTCAGTGGAAGTCTGGAGGATAAAATAATTCAGGCTCCGGTCATTTCCTCCAAAGCAACCATTACAGAACAAAGAATTACAAAGTTACAGACAAAACACCAGTGGACAAATAGGCACTTAGGACAGTTATCTATTCCTAGAATGGCACTGCATTATACTTTTTGCATACCAGTTGTTAATACTGAAATGATTAAAGCAGCTAGTTTTGATAATGAATTACTATCACATGATGTAGTGATATCAAATGACTATAAAAGGCAACTACTCGAGAAGAAGAGTTGAAGTCTTTCAAGTCTTTCAAACTTGGAAGAGTTTCTAAGAAGTTTTAGAAAACTGTCCTTAAATCACTATAATTAAAATATCCAAATGAGTAACGTTTTCTAGAAATCTTAAAAGCCTAAAAAAGGGGAAAAGAGTATACATGCTTGGCAATACCTTTTTATTTTCTGCTTTAGTCAGTACAGATTAGCATTTAATTATGAAGCAATTAATGGAAGCCTTAATACAAGGTACTGAAAGAAAACAACAGCATTATTAGTGAAATTACATTTGGCAAAGAACTGATTTTCTTTTTTTTTTTTCTATCTAGAGATAACTTTAAGCAAATGTAACAAACTTTTTCCTTTTTTTAAAACTCAGTACCTCTCCAGATAGACCAATGGCTTCTTCTGCTGTCCCACATTGCCCAGCAGGTCCATTCTGCAACCGTTCCAAGAGTTCCAACAAAGCAAAATTCTTTTTCAAGCCCCAGACACCAGAATCTCCTATGTTTGAGGAAGAGTTAAATGAAGGAGAGGAAGTAAAACCTCAACCAAATACCATCAGAAGAAGTTCCACAAACCACAGTTGAGATTCTGACAAATATTAAGAGCACATTAACTACAGTGATATTAACTAGAGTGAGATATATCTACCACTTTTTCTATGTAAGCTCACACTACCTTTCTATCCTCTTCCTTCCTTCCATCATGGAACTATTTAATATTTATGCAGATTTGCCCTACTTAAAAGATGCCAAGATTATTAAAAATTTACAAAAACTCAGTAAAAACACTTGTAAAAAAATCTACAACAGCTAACAACTAAACACTACAAGGAACACACAAACTCTAATGTGTATCATAAAAATTAGTATTTGGCATAACTACATACAGTGAACATTTCTACTGCACGAACAGAAGCTGTGAAGAATTCACACTGACAAACCTCATATTCCCTGAATCACAAGATGCAACACCTATTGCAGATCTCAGTCCAGTAAAAACCTGAGTAAGGGTTAAAACAATATTCAGAAAGGAAGACCCACATACAGCACTATTTGATATAACAAAAAAGAAGATATCTCACTCTCCCTAGAGCAAAGCAGAAGTCCACGTCTACTCCTGTATCATCCTCATTTTGTAAAGGTTAACATGAGAAACAAAACCAGAATCACATTCCCAATGACTGCTGCTAAATGCTACCTGCATAGGCCATGTAGCATATGAGAACCCTAGTGACAGTTTCTCCAAGAAAGTATCATCCCTTGACTTTTTTCAGCATCACTGTCATAAAGACATTTTCTCTGTTGCAAAGCAAAGGTGCTTCAAGAGATGAAGCATCATCTTTGAGCACTGGATCATTACTATTTAGTCATTACAGAATCACAGAATGGTTGAGGCTGGAAGGCACCTCTGGACATCAGTTTGCCCAGTCCCCCTGCTCAAGCAGGGTCACCTAGAGCTGGTTGCCCAGGACAACGCCCAGGCAGCTTTTGAAGATCTCCAAGGAGGGAGATTCCATGACCTCTCTGGGCAACCTGTGCCAGAGCTTGGTTATCCTCACAGTCAAAATTGTTTCCTTATGTGCAGACAGAACTTCCTGTTTCAAGCTTGTGCACATTGCCTCTGGTTTTGTCACCAGACACACTGAAAAAAGCCTGGCTCTGTTGTCTTTACACCCTCCCTTCAGATATTTGTAAAATATCTCTCAGCCTTTCCTCATATAAGAGATGCTCCAGTCCCTCCGTTATCTTACTGGCCTTTCACTCCAGTAGCTCCACATCACTCTTGTACTGGGGAGCCTAAAACTGGACGTAGTACTCCAGGTGTGGCCTCACCAGTGCTGAGGACAGGGGAAGGATCACCACCCTGGACTTGCTGGCAACACTCCTCCTAATGTAGCCCAGGATACTGTTAGCCTCCTTTGCCACAACAGCACACCAGGTAAACCAAGACCCCCAGGTCCTTTTCTGCAAAGCTGCCCTCCAACTGGTTGGCCCACTGTCTTCTCTCATTCTCCTCCCAAATGAGAAAATTAGAATCATAGAATCACAGAACATCTCAAGTTGGAAGGGACCCACAAGGGTCATCGAGTCAAACTCCCTGCTCCTCGCAGGGCTACGTAAAACTAAACCATATGACTAAGAGCATCATCCAGATGCTCCTTGAACTCTGACAGGCTTGGTGCCATGACCACTTCCCTGGGGAGCCTGTCCCAGTGACCGACCACCCTCTCTGTGAAGAACCTTTTCCTAATGCCCAGCCTGAACTGCCCCTGACACAGCTTCATTCCATGTCCTCGTGTCCTATCACTGGTCACCAGAGAGAGGAGATCAGCACCTCCCCCTCCACTGCCCCCCTTGAGGAAGTACAACTTCCTTCTTCAAGGCTGTGAATAGGTCCCCTCAGCCTTCTCTTCTCCAAGCTGAGCAAACCAAGTGACCTCAGCTGCTCCTCGTTAAGTCTTGCCCTCAAGACCTTTCACCATCTTGGTTGCCCTCCTCTGGACACACTCTAATAGTTTGATGTGCCCAAAACTGCACACAGTACATGAGGTGGGGTCACACCTGTGCAGTGTAGACTGGGACAATCACCTCCCTCGACCAGCCAGCGATACTGTGCCTGATGCACCCCAGGACATGGTTGGAACTTTTGGCTGCCAGGGCACACTGTTGACTCATACTCAACTTGCCACCAACCCAAACCCCCAGATCTCTTTCTGCAGGGCTGTTCTCCAGCCTCTCGTCCCCCAACTTGTAAGTATAACCAGGATTACCCCAGGATTAAACATCTACGCTTTGTGTACATCCTTATTTGTGAGGTGACCGACCACATCAAGCAACAGACCAATGGTATTTCTGATCCTCCTTTTGCTGTTAACATATTTTAAAAAGCCTTTTTTGTTGTCCTTCACAGCGCTGGCCAACTTGAACTCTAATCAAGCTTTGGCCACACAAATTTTCTCCTACATTGGTGAACAGCATCTCTGTAGTCCTTCCATGTTGCCTGTCCTTGCTTCCAACATCTGTACACTTTCCTTTTCTGCCTAAGTTCTAGAAGAAGATCCCTGCTCAGCCAAGCCGGCCTTCTGCCCCGCTTGCTTGACTTCTGACATTTTGGAATTGCCTGCTCCCGCGCTCTTAAGAGATGGCTCTTAAAAAGTGATTTACCTAATGCAGAAAGCACCTAGCAACTTCCTCTCAGCAGAGCTGTTATATATAAAAGAAAAAAAACATGTTTTAGTAGTATGCTATCAGACATCCCTCAAACGGGGTGTTTGCCATTCTCAAGGACTGAGTACACAGAATCTGAGGTTCTCCTCAATATACAACATCTAGAAAGTTATATTCGATCAACTGCAGTAGGCTGACTACCATTGCTGAATCACAACTATATACTTTTGGAAATCAGGAATGTCCAATTACAGATGGGCGATCTGAGAATAGAGAGGTGTTTTAATGGAGCTTAGTGTTGAATTCACTATGAATTTTCAGAATGAGTGTCACTTCTGTCTGTAGGTTTGGGTGGGGGTTTTTTTCTTTTCTTCTTTAAAATCAGGGGCAGATCAACTTTTTAAGTTGTTTACTGCCCAACCTAAACTCTTATTTGTGCACAGTATAGAATCAGTTTAAATCCTAATTGACACTAACAAGGCTGTTCATATATAGTATCAATACATGTCAATCCAGGTAGAGGGTGTAATTACTTGCTGACAACTCCTAATTTGGAAGGGACAAGTAAAGAAATGCATGTGCTCTTCCTCCAGCCTCAATGCTATGATGAGCTCTTCTGCTATTGTCACAGGGATTTTATTACGATCAGTTCACCAAAATTGGGCGGCAGTGTTGATCTGCTTGAGGGTAGGAAGGCTCTGCAGAGGGACCTGGACAGGCTGGATCGATGGGCCGAGGCCAACTGGATGAGATTCAACAAGGCCAAGTGCCAGGTCCTGCACTTCCGCCACAACAACCCCGTGCAGCGCTACAGGATTGGGGAAGAGTGGCTGGAAAGCTGCCTGGCGGAAAAGGACCTGGGGGTGCTGGTCGACAGCCGGCTGAACATGAGTCGACAGTGTGCCCAGGCGGCCAAGAAGGCCAATGACATCGTGGCCTGTATCAGAAATAGTGTGGCCAGCAGGAGTAGGGAAGTGATTGTCCCCCTGTACTCGGCACTGGTGAGGCTGCACCTCGACTGGAGTGTGTCCAGAGAAGGGCAACGAGGCTGGTGAAGGGTCTGGAGAACAAGTCTTATGAGGAGCGGCTGAGGGAACTGGGGTTGTTTAGCCTGGAGAAAAGGAGGCTCAGGGGAGACCTCATTGCTCTCTACAACTACCTGAAAGGAGGTTGTAGCGAGGTGGGTGTTGGTCTCTTCTCCCAGGTAACAAGCGATAGGATGAGAAGAAATGGCCTCAAGTTGCGCCAGGGGAGGTTTAGATTGGACATGAGGAAAAATTTCTTTACTGAAGGAGTGGTTAAACATTAGAACGGGCTGCCCAGGGAAGTGGTTGAGTCACCATCCCTGGAGGTATTTAAAAGAGGTGTAGATGAGGCGCTTAGGGACACGGTTTAGTGGGCATGGTGGTGTTGGGCTGACAGTTGGACTCCATGATCTTAGAGGTCTCTTCCAACCTTAATGATTCTGTGATTCTATGAAAATTGGTAGAACACAGATATATACATCAATCCTCATTAAAACCTCCAAACACCCTGTTTTCCTAACAAATATCACAGTTAACCCATGAACGCCTATGATCTTGTGACATTATTTTTACCAGCTCTTGAAACAACATATCTGAGAACAAAGACAAGCTCAAGAAATTACTTGATTATATCCAACATTACTGCTGAATAATAACAGAGCACTTCTTTGGTGCACTGAAAGGAAGGCAAGATGTGGACATTAGTTTCTTCACATAACATTGCCCTTATCGCTTTGTCAGCTGTTTACGTAAGTGTACAGAAGCTACTAACTTCAGGAAAAGAAATGGGGGAGGGGCTTGCTAGCTTTCAGTAGAATGATAGAAGGCACAACATTACCAGTAGTGCCCAGGGTAGTGACAGAGGTATATTTATGTAGCTAAGAAGGTGCCTAGAAATGCCAACTTGTATTTAAACAGAATCTGTAGGACTTGAAATTGGCTCATCTATTTTATGATGGAACTTTTGAACTGTGTTTGTAAGACAAGAAATGGTTGCTGCGGTTACTATTTAGAGTGTGGGACACCACTATCTGGACAAAACTGCATATGCATGCTGCTTTTGTAATTCAAATATTTGTTTTGTACTTCATGCAAACATACCCATCTAAGAATATGAGCCAAACTTTTAGTGAACTTCTGCTATTCACTGTAAAAAAATAACACATACTACAGTTCTTTATTAAATTCAAGTAACTCTTTATTCGATTCACGCTGTGCTTCAAGCATGATCTGGAAAACACAATTTTAGAAAACAATGGCAGATCTGGAAAGAAGTTGGGCTGCCTCTCATAATCCAAATGCAAAG